TTACGCCTAAAATGCCGGCATGGCTGGGTGCGCGGAGGGCAGGGGGGGGGGAGTGATCGTCGATATCGCCATAAATGTTAGCATGTACCGGCTGCAATAGTCCCGCTTGATGTGGCCTCTATTAGATGCGAATTGACCACAGGCCCAGTACCCACGGTCTCTGAGAGACGAATCAGAATTATTCACTTGGTGATTTTTGTGGCCTGGCAAGTAGCCACCTGTGCGCAAGCCCTACTAACACCGGTTTTTATTGTAATAATCGACAGACGAAAGATCCCATTCAATTCTACAGTACCGAGCGCTGTGTATAGACGGATAGACAGCAAACCAGAAGTTGGAGCAAAGAAATTAATTTAAATAACGGCAGACAAGGTAAGGTAGATTCTAAATTAGAAGTAAAAAGAGACACGTGATATAGGTACTTTAATAAATGAAAATTCAAATCAGGAAGAATATGCTAATAATTTGAAGGGCCAATATTTTTTGGGGAGGGCTACCGCAACCGCAGGATACATAGGGCGTTACGGTTTATTAAGACTACTTCGTCCCCCTAACTCGTAGCTTCTTAATCTAAAGCCCTCAATATTATTCTTAAAAGTATTCAGCTAATTGGGATTTGAGCAACCGAAGGTGAAAACAATGGGATAGGAGCATGTGGGAGGGCCAAACGACAGCTAACCTGGGATGAGAGGTCCCGGTGGATGAGTTGACGTTCATGAAGATAGCCCACACCGGAGGCGATGTCGTTGGCGATCTTGGTCCGAGTGATCCACGGCAATCGAGAGGATCCCGTGAGTAGGTCAACCAGACTACCGCCGTTAGCGTACTGGAAGAGGAGGCGGAGGAGGGGAAAAGGAACAAGAAGAAAGAAACGTATTATTATGCACATTCAACGAGAAATGTGAGTGCATTGAGCCTGAGACGCGATAGAACAAACGCTTGTCAGAGCAAGAGTTATCTGTATCTGGAGAGTAACATGAAAAGATACACAAAGTGGGTGTTGAGACGCCTTGATAAAATTAACTTCACCCGACTCCGAGAGCATACAAAATACATTAACAGAAAGACAACAGTCGACAAAATTTCACGACTTGCAGTACATGCCTCAAGTATCCAGATTGAACAGAGACATTTTAGTCCGAATAAGCGGATATCCGAGCTACTCAAAGTGCACCCGATGAATCAACCGTCTCAAAAAAGTCATTCTTGCAGGAGAGTAATGTCTGCATAACGTACATTTTGGCAAAAACATTAATTTCGTAAGGATATACACTCCAAAATACTTTTTTCGACGCGATGTAAACGTAGATCATGGCATGCTTTCCTCTGCCAGCAGGCGATAAACAGGGTTGGACTGCCGGTCTACCGTTGTACGCCAGCGAGCGATAAGACAACGTGACAGGACGTTCAGAGGTTGCTCCGGGACTAAGCCGCGAAGAACAGCACTATTGATTAGTGCCAGCTGGGGCGGGAACTCAGGCCACGTGTCTGGGAGGGGAGTACACATCGGTCGGCATCCATTGAGCCCTACGTGGACCGCATATTTGATTGGATATTCAAAAAGTTGCAAATAAAGAGGGACAGCCCTGCACGACAGTGCAATTTATTTGTGAGGGCCATATTTCAGTTTGTAAAGAGCGGCTATGAGTCATTTTCAGACATCAGCATGATTACTCACAACGCCTGGAGTGTGACCCGTACGGAGGGGAAAAAAACTATGGACACCAGGAGACCAGTTTGTGTAATTCCAGACATAGCAATGGTGAGTAACTTATCTTTTTTGAAAATTAACGTGTACCCTATCTTTTAGCGCAAAGGTAGTTTAAGTAGTGTACCTAATTTGCCCTTAGTCCCAGCATTTTGTTCTACGGAAACAGTAGCTATAGGAGTTTTGGATGGGATTGACAGTGATGGAAATTTGTAGAAGTAAGTTTATATGAAAAAATGTTGTTTTCATCATCCCCGGAAAGGTAAGAAGAAGATGGAGCAATTCCTGAGACCAAGTTGTATTTAGGCTGATGTTTCGAAAACATTCTCACTTTCATTGTGAGGCACCGCTATAAGACACGGCTAGTGTTAAGACACTCACTTGACGCCAGAAGGAGAGTAGACACTACGCTTTGAGGATGAAAGCGAGAATGTTTTCGATACGTCAGCCTAAATACAACCTGGCCTCAGGAATTACCCCCATTTTCTTCTTCCCCTTCCGGGGATGATGAAAGCAGTAGAAGTAAGTGTTAATTGGAAAATGTAGTTGAATATGTTTCCTGCGGCCGCTGGGAGCAAGATGTTCCACAGGAAAATTGAAGGTGTGCGCGGCGCTACGCGCCGCGGACTATACTAATCTAACTCAAGAACGGTAAATTAGAACTTAAGTAAGTGGAAGTAGACGACCTCCTAACTACCATTTATATTTTTCAGGAATTTCAAGAAACCTGCACTTCGATAATCGCGTTTTTCCGCAATACGTTAAACAATAATACGGAATAGGAAAATCTACAGATATAAATCGACAACATTTCTAAATACAATAAAATGAAAACACTTAAAGCAGTTATTAAAGTATATTCCACTGCCTACCCTAATTCCCCACCCACAAAACCCCATATAACTACCGTTTCCGTAAGACAAAATGATCTGACTAGGGGTATATGAGATGCAGTAGTTAAACTACTGTTGCCACGCAAATTTGCGAAAAGATATCATACCCCATTGAGAGTGCATGAGGCATGAATATTTTGGGTCTCTTTCCTAAGCAGTGCGGCCGGCTGTCCAGTCATCGAAATGACGGACGACTAAGTGGTGATGTTTTCGGAGAAAGATATTCATCCAAAAAGGCCACATACTAGGGGGCAAAAACTGACCTGTGACTGCGTTCTCTGCCTACGAGTTTTACAAACTCACGTGATTAATCCCATTTTTTGTCTGACAAGTAGCAACTAAAACGAACAGGTTTTAAATCACACACACACCCCCCATGATTCGGTGGTGTGGTATCAAACGGAAGTTCCAACAAACACCGTTTTTATAACTTAGAAAGTGGGGGATACAGCAGTCGACAAAATCAAACTGTAGTTGGTAACTCATAGAGCCATTAACAGCTTGTCGTCGGATGAAAGAAAGTTGCCAAGGTAGAATACCTTCGACGGATGTTCAGAGAGAATGGCTACCTGCGCAACTTCGTCGACCGGTGCTTGCGCAAACGAGATGGCCAGCAGAGGCGCACCGACCCCTAAATTTGGCGTTCGATCCCGTAC